TATATATATTTTTCTATATACAAAGTATATATATTGTATATTTTTTATTTTTTTGGCGAGTCGAGATGGTTCTTCTCGTTCTGAGCATTTCATTGCATTGTTGACCATGTCTTGATCTGCAAATGACATAATAAACCTAAACCTATCTAAAAACACTATAGAGGTTTATGCAAACAACATCAGTATCCTGAAAAAAAATTGACATTAAAAACACCCAAATGCATTATAATTTACTGGAAGTGCTACAACTCACTGTTGCTGCCCAGCCTATACTGTATACACTATGTAAATAATGGGTTCAATAAATAGCATTTACATGAACTGCTCTACAACTTTTGAGACTGGAGTGCAATGAGGGCTGCAAAACCAGCGTTGGAACTTGCATCATTCTGATTAGCATTAAGCTTTGATTGTCAGTATTTCATACTGATAATGACCACTGTCTACCGTAGGTAAAATGAAGATTTTGCAGGACACCACTTCAAAAATATCCCAGTCATATTTTGGAAAGTTTGTATGTCTGAGGACTGTGCTAACCTGTGATCCTCGAGGGCCTCTCTTGTGGTCCCAGTCTGAGCGGGACAGCATCTGTGGGGAAACAAAGACACAAGCATGTTCAACCACACATTCAGTGTTTGTTAGCTATAACAGAAGCACTAATGCAACACAGATAAACTACAATGTGACAGAACAAAGGATGAGCAGTAATGGTTGTGCAAAAAATAAATAAATAAAATAAAACAATGTAGCGGGTGTGGAGAGATGGAAACTCTCATTAGGCATTTTCTCCTTTTTTTTAAACTTTCCATTAAGCACATGTGTCTAATGCAATTTCACAGTCAGGTCTGGTTTACTTTAGCTCTTATTTACTGCCTTAGGGGCATGTGAAGGCTGGGGATTTTTTTATTTTGCCTAATTACCAGCCACTGTGTCCTCCCACAGGCCTCATAAACCCATTTTCCACTTTCCCGGGATTCTACGCACGCATAAGCGCTGTTCTGTCATTGATTCTTGGGTGAATATGATACTTAAGAGGTTAAGATGAAACTATTCCACCTTTTTGTAAGTTTACTCTGCACCATAATGAGAGGCTAAACTAGTGTGTTGCTAAATTGCTGCTGCAGACCAAGCTCAGTATAAAACTCGATTTGAAAATTATAGTAAGTTACTGTGTGTGTGGAAACAGTTATGCAGTGTCATACTGTGTGTGGAAGCATTAAGAGAACTACTGCAATATGGCTGACTATACAGGAGTTTTATTGGTGTTTCCTCAGAGTGTTGCTTGGCTTAACACCAAATTAAAAATAATGTTCTTGCCCGTTATATTTTAATTTGAGGTCAATTCATTTTACTTACATTTATTGACAAAACACTGAAGCAAAGTGTCCTATTATAAAAGATTTCCTAATCAGTAGTTGCCAGGGAATAATTTTAATGAATACTAATGAAAATAACAAAATAAAGAAAAGTTATTAGACTGATTTACTACCTTATTCCAAAACCACAGCTTTAACAAATCTTTTCAAAGTTCACAAAGAGCTGTCCCCAGTCGTTGTCTGGGTAAAATCCAAAGCTTTCCTCAAATAAACTGTTTTTTAGGTATTACATAAAAACACTTAGAACCCCATTAGGTTCTGTTGTGAGTTCAAGAAATGATTCTAGTTGATTTAGGGTGCAGGCATAAACAAATGACCCTCCAGCTGTCATAAGACTTTGATAAATGGGTGAATCCTCTGAGTCTCTTTTCCCAGCTGAGCTGCACCCACTTCTGTCCAACAAAAGAGAAAACTCTCATGTGAAATTAAAAAAAAACTGTTTACAAACTGGGGAGCAAATCTACACAACTGTGCTTGGATATTTTTAAACTGATTTATTTTTTCTGTTCCCACATTCTAACGAAAACAATGAAATGTAAGCGCCACGCCACTAGATGGCATAAACTGCCACATAAACAGCAAATCGAAACACGAAGAAAGAACTTGAGTCAAGTCCAACCATGTTCAGTCCGGTCATCTGGACAGTTAATTTTTTTGCTGAGATGTTTTGTCCTTCATCCAAAGGACCTCCTCAGTCTGAGAAGCCACCAAACAAAACTGATTCCCAAAAACAGCATACTCCACAAAAGAAACCATCCAGATGACCTGACTGAACATTGTTGGATTTTATACTTGAAGTGCTGAGCATGAACTATGGTGACTTGAGTCAAGACTTTCAGTAGTTTGTTTTGCTCTGATCCATCCATCCATCCATCCATCCATCCATCCATCCATCCATCCATTATCTTTTACCCGCTTCTTCCATTTTGGGTCACGGGAGTCACCAGTGCCCATATCCAGCCATCACTGTGCAAGAGCCGGGGGACACCTAACCATAACCCTGGACAGGTCCAAGTCCATCACAGGGACACATAGAGACAAATGAGACAAACAACCATTCACTCTCTCACTCACACCTAGGGACAATTTAGAGTTCCCAATCAGTCTAACATGCATGTTTTTGGTCTGTGGGAGGAAACCGGAGTACCTGTAGGAAACCCACGCATGCACGGAGATAACATGCAAACTCCACCCAGAAAGGCCCCCGGACCGGGATTTGAACCGGGGACCTGAGAGGACACTGAGAGGCAGCAGCTCTATCAGTTGTGCCACCGTGCTGCCCGTTTCCAAACCAAAAAATACAAAGTAAATAAATTAAAAAATTGGTGACAATGGTCATGAATTGTGTTGGTACCTAATGATTTCTGTAAACCTCTGTGTTTTAAATTCACACAGAGATAACACCTTCATGTTTTAAAAAAAAATCTATAGTTTTAAAAGTGGCAACTTAGTTGGTAGAGCTGTTGCCTTTCAGCGAGAAGGTCGCCAGTTCAAATCCCAGCTGGGGGTCTTTCTGTGTGGAGTTTGCATCTTCTCTCCGTAGATGCCTGGGTTTTCTCCTGGTTCTTCAGTTTCTTCCCACAGACCAAAAACATGCATGTTAGACTGATCGGTAACTCTAAATTGGTTGTAGGTGTGAGTGAGAGAGTGAATGGTAGTTTGTCTCTATGTGTCCCTGTGATGGACTGGAGACCTGTCCAGGTGTCCCCCACCTCTCACACAGTGACTGCTGGACATGGGCACCAGTGACCCCCGTGACCCAAAAAGGGAGATGTGTGTAAATATAATGGATGGATACTTGTGAAAGAGCTTTTGAGAGTTTTTTCCACATAAACCTTTGCATGTGAAGAGGAGGTAATAAAGCATAAAATAGATTTTTTTCTGTTTATTATGGTCGTGAGTAACACATTCATCATAGCAAGAGGTTTATGGCCGTGCTGTTATGAATCAAAAGTTTATTGGGTGATTAGGGCTCTGCACTTTAACTGTTTAGCAGGTTTAAACCATGTAAATGTGTTTTTGTAACTATTTAACTCAACTTGATATGCACCTTTGTCATGTTTAGTTGAGTATAAATGATTTGTGGGCTTTGTATTTATTATGCATCTTGTCCTTCAGCAAGTTTCTGCTCAACAATGCCGTACAAGTGCAGTGACCCTGACAGTGAGCAAAGGAAGTTATGCACACCCTTCAAAATAAAAGGAAAAACATTGTTACAGAAAAGTTCTTGCATTGCTTGATGTTGAATAAGTAAAAAAAAAAAAAAAAAAAAAAAGCTCTCATAATGTATCACTGTAAAGCTCTCTCAAATCTTTTATCTAATGGTCTGAATAAAAACACATACCAGATGTAAAAAATAAAATTAATTAGCAATCAGCAGTAGAAAATATCCATTTATGAGATATTAATCATTGTAAATGATAGTTCTTCACTCCCCTAATGACAGGTTTTTACTTTTACAGTATAACAGCTGGCAGCGACATCCTCCACGGTTGCCGCAAAAGTCCTTCTCCATTAGGAGGCTCTAGTGTCAGCGAAGCGCTCAAGGCATGCACACACAAACAACCTTTCAGTTTTCTGACCGTCTTATGCAACTCAAACTTTCATCTCACACCCTGAAAGACAGACTCAGACTATGGTGAAGTTGCAACGCTCCCTTTCATGTGCCAAGAAAACAATATCAAAGCTGAGCATTAAATTTGAGCAGCAGAGAGAGTCCCATACGAGGGGTGACATCAGAAGGCTCAGAGATATTCCATTAGAGTTGCTCAGTCAATTTCTGCAGATTTTTGTAGAGAAACTACAGGTGCTGGTCATAAAATTAGAATATCATGAAAAAGTTGATTTATGTCAGTAATTCCATTCAAAAAGTGAAACTTGTATATTCTATAAATTCATTATATACAGATTGATATATTCCATCCATCCATCCATTTTCTTTACCCGCTTATTCCATTTTGGGTCACGGGGGTCGCTGGTGCCCATGTCCAGCAATCACTGTGCGAGGGGCGGGGTACACCCTGGATGGGTCGCAAGTCCATCACAGGGACACATAGAGACAAACGAGACAAACAACCATTCACTCTCTCACTCACACCTAGGGACAATTTAGAGTTACCAATCAGCCTAACATGCATGTTTTTGGACTGTGGGAGGAAACCGGAGTACCCGGAGAAAACCCACGCATGCACGGAGAGAACATGCAAACTCCACCCAGAAAGGCCCCTGGACCGGGGTTTGAACCAAGGACCTGCTCGCTGAGAGGCAGCAGCTCTACCAGTTGCGCCAGATTGATATATTTCAAATGTTTATTTCTTTTAATCTTGATTATTATAACTGACAACTAATGAAAACCCCAAATTCAGTATCTCAGAAAATTAGAATATTACTTAAGACCAATAAAAAAATGATTTTTAGAAATTCTGGCCAACTGAAAGTATGAACATGAAAAGTATGAGCATGTACAACACTCAGTAGTTGTGGCTCCTTTTGTCTGGATTACTGCATCAATGCAGCGTGACATGTAGTCGATCAGTCTGTGTCACTGCTCAGGTGTTATGAGTCCAGGTTGATCTGATAGTGACCTTCAGCTCTTCTGAATTGTTGGGTCTGGTGTATCACATCTTCCTCTTCACAATACTCCATAGATTTTCTATGGGTTTAAGGTCAGGAGAGTTTGCTGGCCAATTAAGAACAGGGATACCATGGTCCTTAAACCAGTTACTGGTAACTCTGTCACTGTGTGCAGGTGCCAAGTCCTGTTGGAAAAAGAAATCTGCATCTCCATAAAGTTGGTCAGCAGCAGGAAGCATGAAGTTCATTCAACCTTTATTTCTACAGGTAAATCCCATTGAGCCTCGAGGACTCATTTACAAGAGAGACCTGATTTCAAGAAAGAATGATGACAACAATGGACAACAGTGACAACAATAAACAGTTATAAAAAGTCATACTCCAGTTTTTTTTTTTAAACCAATAGGATGGCTAAAAAAACTTAACAAAAAACAGCTAGATTCTAAAGCCTCCAGTATACTGCCGCGTACATCTGTTCACGCGTACGTACGCGTGTACGGTACGCAGAGGGTTCAGACTTCATACTCCAGTGTACACCCCGAGCAGCTGCAGAGCAACTTCACAGACAAGGGGCGTTTACCTTCGGGACAAATTGAGGTCGCCGATTGGTCATTTGCTGACATGCCTACTGGATTGATT